TACCCAAATGTAAGTTAAAAAAAAAAACTGAAAAAAGAGAATTTTGCATATTTGGTCCCCTTTAAGTTATTTTTTGAGGATCTGTAATTTTACCGAGTATTCTTTTTAAGTGTAACTTTTACTTTGTTATATTAAAAGACATAAAAATTGTATTTTACTTCTTTAATTTAAAATTTAACACCTAGTTACACATTACAAATTTAAATATGACCAAACTCATCATGAAAAGAGTTGTTTATGCGCAGTTAAGTCAACCGTTCCACTAAACCCAGATGAGTAAATGTAAAGAATTTTCTTTAAAATGTGCAAATTGATCAGTTTGGTTTAATAGATTCTACACTTCATTTCATAGAGTGTAAAAGTRCTTATTTATTTTATGACGCTTACTTACATTTCTTGTCAGTGATTTTTTAAAACCAAAGTCATTTTCTGTTAAGGTATTCTTACTTTTACTTAGTTATTTCTTTAAAGAACTTTAAGTACCTCTGAAAGTGTGCAAGTACTGCAGACTCAGAACAGTGAGTTGTTTGTTGATAAAGCAACAGAATTAGTAAGACAGTGTAAACTCAAACTGTTGCAGGTTAAAGATCTCAGCTTACTTCACTGGATCATCATGGTCACTGTCAACACTGTCGGCCTCGCTGTCAGGATCTCCTCTCCAGGTCTGGTCCAGGAACAAAGGTCCCTGCTCCTCCTCACTAAGACTTTCTTCATCTGCTACAGGGTGGACAGCATAAACATATAAAATATTAGGTACCAAAACAATGTATTAAGTCTATAACAGACTAAACTCAAAGTTTTTTAGTGAAACCAAAGCGTTTTACCTATAATGCGGCTAGTTTCAGAGCGTCCTCCATCTAGTCCATGAGTCTCTGCACGGTTGTGGCAGCTTAGCTGAGATAACAAAGCCTCTGGAGACGGACTGGAAGAAGCCTTCCTCATCTGAGCTTGTAAAGCCACAGCATTCTTGCGAGTATGCTCTGCGCAGAAAGTCACTCTGCAAAATGAAAGTTGGGATTTCTGTGAGATGAAGTTTATAAATGGAGACATATTAAACACGAAGTTTAAATGGAGACATATTAAACACAAAGTTTAATTTAAAGTTTTTGAAGATGTGACATTCTGCCTACCCATCTTTTCTCTCTGCCTTTGGAGCAGCATTGGGGCAGCGCTTGCCGTTCTTGACAGAAACATAGCTACACAGCTTGTACGGAGCATTTTTGTCCTCCAGAATGTGTTTGATGCAGAAGTCCAGGCCTTCCAGACGGGGCTGAGAACATGGCCGCAGGGTGAAGGAGCAGGACTGCGGCTCCTGAGGTCGAGAGGTCTGAGCCACCCGGTTACGACTTGAGGGCAGGACGTGTATTCGTATTCTGTTCATTTTGAACCTGTAATAATAATAATAATAATAATAATAATAATAATAATAATAATAATAATAATAATAATAATATTATTATTTTAATACTAATAAAAATGGACAGTTATGGATACTTGTGTGTATTTTTCAAATACATAGTACACAGAAATACACAATAAGTCAGTGTGTATATTCAAAAAATACCAATCTTATATGGCAAATTAAATATCTGCAAACAGGAGTGAACCAAAATTCCTCCTGACATGTGTGCAAACTTCATAATTAAACTACGACTGCTGTGCTGCCAACAAAGGTTTTGCAACAAAATATTAACTCGTTTGCCAGAGGGATAAAATACTTATTTCACTCTGCAAAATGCAAATAAATCTACATAATTTATACAATGTGATTTTCTGGATTTTTGTTCTTTTTTGATATTCTATCCCTCACTGTTAAAATTAACCTACCCTTATAATTATAGACTGCCCATGTCTTTGTCTGTGGGCAAACTTACAAAATCAGCAAGGGATCAAATACTTATTTCCTTCACTGTATGTAGGGGGAACAGATCAACACAATACCTGAATGCTAATAAAATAATAAATATAATTTCTTGCATTCATGTGAATGCAAACAACAGATATACAACAATAATTTATATTCCCTACTCCCTTTCAAACAGAAAAGTGGTGGTATTTGGGTTCTTGGTTATGTATGCATGCTTTTTTTTTCCTTTTTTGTTCTACTGATTGCTTTTTTATTTTTATTTTTTTAATTAAATAAATTCACAGCATCTGTGATGGACTTGCGACCTGTCCAGGGTGTACCCCGCCCCTCGCACTGTGACTGCTGGATATGGGCACCAGTGACCCACGCAACCCTGAAAAGGAAGAAGCGTGTACAGAAAATGGATGGATGGATGGAAATTCACAGCATCTCATGACTTAGATTTTCAACATCATAAAATGAAAAAGTAGTGCTTCTCTAAGAAGTGAATTTATCTCGAATTTGTTACAAATTTATTTGTTTTAATATCAACACGCTATCTTATGACCATTAAAGATATTTTCTTTTGCATAACACCACATCTTCTCTTATGTTGTCCTTAGAGAATACAAAATATGTACTTTTAACTACAAAATTAGGGTTTAGGACTAGTATTCTATAAAGCACTTTTGACTTGTTAAGATAAGTGAATCACTTGTGTTCAGTTGTGTAGCTAGTTGCGGTGTACACTTCTTATMACTAGGCCAGTATGTGCCGGATGTTTCCAACAGTTTACTACGTGGAGCTCGCTGATAAACATTACGTTAGGTGCAGATTCCACGCATTTTAAGACACTGTGCACATAAATAAGAGACCTACCACCATAACAACAAAGTAAAGCTTGCATACAGACACAAGGTGCATCTGTCTTGAATAGCTCCAGCCTCGCGCTACAACCCGCCTCTCTTCTCTGCGTCACTCTGACCCCCTTCAGTTAAACGAGTCGCCATCTTTGTTTGGCTGTTGCTACATCAGCTAAAGGATAAGTTTGATATTTCATAAGAAAAAGGAAGATTCCAGCGATCGGTGGCAATATTCTGACGTACATCCAGATGTTTTCTAAATGTTTAGAAACGAGAATGTTAAAATATTCACGCGTGCGTACGGTAGCACTGCTTACCTTCTCTTGACTTGTCTTCCAAGTGACGCAGCCTGAAGCACAACACTGCAGTTATCTTTGCACTGACCCCGCCCACACAACGTTCCTATTGGCGGGAGCGGCAATCTTCGCCGCAGCTTATTGGCTACTCGCGCTGTCATTCAAAGTGGTATCAACGCGAGTTTAGGGCTCGCAGTGGTTAAAAAGAGAAAACACCGAAGGGTTTTATTTAAAATATTTATTGACTTTCAGAATTAGGCAACCACATTATTTCAAAAAGAACAGTGTTCACATATAACTTATTAAATGAAAACAAACAAAAAAGATTCCAGACCTGAGTGCCAATAAAAACACCAAGACAGAAGAAACGACACTTAGGCTATTGTAAATGTGATTTTTGCATTGTTAGGTTGCATGAGTGTCCTCCGTTGTTTTCTTATATATGGTCCTACTTTAAAAATAGTTTTTAATAATTTCCTTAATGAACAATAATACTTTAAGTGACATTTTTCTCAAACCAGATAACTTGTGTTTTAAAAATGGACAATATTTGAACCCTACTCTAAAGGCTTAACCAGTATACATGTTAACACTTTAATTACATTGTAGGTAAACCTACAGAGACAAATATTCAGTGCATTTAACCATTTCCCTGTCACAACCAACAAATGAACTCTGTTGCCTGAGCAAGAAMCTTCTCCTTTCCAGCATATGTTCCACTTTTCAAGGGAATAAAAAATATGAAACTGTATGGCTGATTTCTTGTACTGCAATGCTGAAAATGAACAAAACAATAGCAGGATTAGAGCAGTAATTACACAATCAAACCCATATAAAGCTTAACATGAATGAAATGTACAAGTGATACCCAATTATCTCGCCAACAAACACCGCTTCTATTTTACTTAAGAATAAAATTAATCATTAGGCAAATTCATGCTCAAATTTTGTAAAGATCTACTGACAGCTTGCATGCTATCTAGCATTTTGCTTAATTATACAACACATGGAAAGTTTTTGGTGAGAACTGATGGTCTTTGCATGGATTAAACTATATTTTCTCAACATACAAAACTATAACAAGATTAAATTGGAGCTGTATGGGCTTACACATTTAAAACATTCCCAAAAACTACACGTTTTATTTTTGATACTGTATTATTCTTTTGCATACTGAGCTTTAATGGATGACCCAGTCATAAGACACGGGTTTGGCTCACACCGCTAATAATAAATTATTTAGATTTACAAATGCAGTTTTGTTACATTTGCTCTGATCCCCTTAAGAATGACATAAAGAAGAAAAATCAGTTTTTTTTAAATATATATTTTGTTTGTTTGCTCGTAAGTCCTTCATAATGACCACACCGGGTAGATATGTTAGAAAATTTTGAACATATGCATGATGTTAGTGTATTGAATAAACATAATATGAATATTTTACAACCATTTAAAACAATGACTGAAACACTCAGACGTACAAACTTACATTTGTTTTGTTTTTTGTAATTTTCAATAACAAAAAGTAAAAAATAGTTTTGCTTTTAACATTTTAAAATACAATCTTCGTAAATGTCAACCAGAAAAAAAAATGCAGTGAATAAAACTTTTTTTAAATTTTTTTTTAAACAAAGTAACAAAAGATGGCTTTGAAAACATGCACTCTCAAACTAGCCTGTACAGTCGTGATGAAAACATTTCTTCTGCCTGGACAGAGCAGAGAGGTCAACCTTAAAAAAGGTAGACTAATTTTTTTTAAAAAATCACTCAATCAATAAATAACATACTATAAAACCATTACAAAAACATTTGATAAACCTAAAAAGGTATCGGATGGCAGTTTAGATTTCTTTAGAACGTTAAAAATGTCTTCCTAAATGAACCCCTATCGTCACATTTCAATGGAATTGAGCAGAAAAAGAAAAATATCTACACTTTTCTTAAAGCCTTTCTGTCTCACATTTTAAAAAAAGGCTCACAAACCTCATTATTGCCCCACAAGTTAAAACTGAACAAGAAAAACTCCTTTAGTACATTTTCCCCCATCATGCTCCAGCCTATCAAAATGTAGAGTTTAAAAGAAAAAGAAAAGAAAGAAATATCATACAATGTTTTATGTAACAAAATGGATGTTTGGGATTTCAAGTACAACAGACACTAATGAGTCCTGATCAGAAGCTTATTTGGGTAATGGTGGAAGAGGGGGAGGTGGTTCTGAAGGTAGGGGTGGGGGTCTGGAGTTGTTCCCTCTGGAGCCACCAGCGTACCGGTAGTCCCCGTACTGAGATCTGTACTCAAACATGGACGGCTGCGAGGGCTGCACACCCTGAGCGCTCAGTAACGAGTTCAGCATTTCAAAAGTGTCCTGGTACTCGTTAGACTGGCCTCCCCCTGCTGAGCCGTGCCCGTTAGTGTCCGTCTTGTCACTTTTAGAGTGGGAATAGGCTCCTTGGTTGTGGGGAAGGCCCAGAGAAGGCAGTAGGTCAGGACCCACAGTCTGCCCGGTGGAGGAAGACAGGGACGGTAACTGGTAGGGATTCCTAGAGGTCTTGCCGACTTTAGTGGGCGGGTGGGAGCTGGCTGTGTGATCCTGGGAGTGTGTCCTCTTTCGGGAGGAGGAGGAGGATGAAGAGCTGGATCTAGAGTCACCACTCGGGGCTTTCCTGCTGCTTCCTAGTGCCCCGCTGGAACTGGATGAGTGTTTGTGTGAAGAGGAGGAGAGCGAAGCACCGCTGGAGGAGGAGTGGTGATGGTGATGATGGTTTTGGTGGTGGTGATGATGGTTAGCCCTGTCCCTGTGTTTATCTCTGCTCTTGCCCTCCTCTCCTGAACTTCCCCGTTGCTTTTCAGGCACTTTTATTCTGACTTTGATGTCCTGATCCTGACCTCGGGCACCATCATGCCCGCTACCGCCGCCGCCCCCAGCCACTGGAAAACGCATTTTGAGAGGCCGATCGTACCTCTCCTTCTCTAAGGGGATCTTAAGAATGATGGGTGAGGGGTTGGACATGTCAGTGGAGGAAGAGGAGCTGGACTGCTGCTGATGGTGATGATGCTGCTGCCTCTCCTTCCTCTGCTGCTGGCCAATCAGAGCCTGGGCTGCATTGGCATATTCTCTCTTTACACTGGCCTCCATGTTTTCCAGCTTTCTCTTTTGGGCTGCCAGGACATCGGCATTCTTCGCACGATACTCACTCAGCGACACCTTGGCCGGAGGTGGGACGTGGACCTCATGGTTGGCCTGCTGCTCAGTTCCAGCCTGACCTTTTCCACTCCAGGTCTGAGCGCTCCCAGACACTCCCCTGTCCTTGTCCCCCATGGACGAGGAAGAGGTCGTGGACGGTGGAGCGGAGAGGCTCATCAGGCCTGCTACAGTACTCTCCGATGAGGCCATCGAGATCATATTAATGATCGTGTCCCTCTGATCACCCTCTTCTTGAACCTTTGGCTTGACCTTTGGTGTTTGACCTCCAGCCTAGAAGCCACACAGCCAGAAAGTCAATAGTTAAAGGCTGTTTGTAAAAAGACACTGATTTTACTGAGGGAAAAAACATAAATGCATAAATAAAACCCGTACCTTCCAGTTGCGAATGCGTTTCAGTCGACTGGGAGTTTTCTCCAGGATCTGRAGGAACTCGTGGGTGAGCTCTGAAAGGATTTTAAAGATCAAAATTAACCCAGGGTATATACAGAAATTCTCAAGTTAAATTTAATAACTTTTAATACTTATTTAATACCATCTCAATGTTTAATACCAACACAACTTCAAGCTGCAACTGTAGCAGCAACTGCTTCAACCTATTATTAAAGTTACTGGATACATAGTTATTTCTTTGCCTTAATGAAACACTGATCTATATACAGATATTTGTTATTTAACCCTAAATTCAAGACAAGTGTTTTCATTATGTGTAGGAAGAGCAGTGCTATCAGCAACAGGTCATCTGCTCTCGCATGTCCCAGAAACTCAGAACCAAAATACCCTGATGTCATACAACCATCCTCTAAATAACATCTGTGTATGTCCATCTGTTTTTTAAACATGTAGTAAAACTTTTGTTGAACATGAGAATGAACGGTCCAGCTGTGTTATCACCCCACCACAACCACACATACACAGAGTTTTACCCTCACAATCACCATCTTTTACCTGCGTTTACTTTCACAATACCAGCTAAAGAACGACTGTAAAGGATTCATCAATCAACTTCTTAAAAAAATTTTAAGTTTTCAATTTTTTCATACTGAGCAGAGGGTTACCTGTAACATTCAAATATCACCTTTTAAATTTATCAAAACTGCAAAAACATCCCAATTTATAAACTTTCTTGTAGGTAAAAATACTTTCAGTTAAAAAAACTGATTGAAAATAATAAAAACTTACTAAACAAATCAAATTAACAGAATCTACATGAGAACTGTAAATTATGTTTCATGTGATCCTGCATTAATTTACATAAAGTCTGATCCCAAATTTAGCTCAAATTCCAAAAACCTTTTAATACAGTGTAGGATTTAAATGAGCTCATATTTATCTACAAACACATAAAATGACTTCTTCATAGAGAATACCCTCCCTGAGAGGTTTGGGGAAAAACAATGAAAAAAATCTGAGACACAGCTTTAATTTACTTTTGTTTTGTTCAAACAAATATAGCTGTTTTAGTGTTAATTAGGGCTGCCACAAACGATTATTTTTATAATCGATTAATCACCTATTATTTTTTCGATTAGTCGACTAATCGGATCATACGTTAATTGAATATAAAACATACAGCTTATCGTGCCAGAATGCAGTTGCTATTATATAATCATCGTTAGATTTTAGCTATAAGCTAACTAAAAATAATTGCTGTGGAAGCTAAGTTCTGCTCTGCAGATATTACACAGGTTTCTCTTTCATTTTCTTAAAATGATCCCACACTTTGAGCTCTGTTGTCAGGTAGCCATGATACCAGAGCCTGTCTGTATAATGTCTTGTAACGTCCACGGCCTACCCCAGTTACAACTACTGTGCATGTGTGTCAAGGACAGAAAGGCAGATGTGGCAGTGGAAGGTGTCAAAGCAGTTTGGAGAGAAAAACAAAGTAAAGAACAAAAAAAAAGAAAGAAAACGATTAATCGATTATTAAATTAGTCATCGATTATTTTAATAATCGATTAGTCGTCGACTAATCGACTAATCGTGGCAGCCCTAGTGTTAATGTGTGTTTGTTTTTTCCAGTAAACACACACCTGTTAAGTGATGTTATTTCCCGGGTCACTCTTATAAGTCATCACTTTAATCTCCTCTCCTGCTGCACCTGTCTGCTCCTCTCTCCTCTCCGCTCTGCTCCTGTCCAGCTAACTTTAGCTAAAGCTAGCATCTACCGACACACGGCTCCTCTCAGGTGGTGGAGTCAGTAATCCTTCTGCTGGTTTATCTTTTCTKACTTTWAACAATCATCCAGCTTTGATATCGTCTCCTGTTCTTTTTTAGACTTGTCCTGACAAATTTATTTTATTTAAAACACCGTTCAAACTTCTGCACTTATGTCCCGCCCCCACACTGTTTCTGATTGGCCAGTAGGCCTGTCAAAAGTGAAAGCTGCATCTCAGAYAGGCCCTGAGAAATGTTTGTTAAATCTGTTTTCAAAGCAGCGCATCAGATCCAGCATGGCAAAAGTGCGCTAGTTGTTTAAAAATTAATACCTCGTCAGATGGCGTTTATTACCTTTTAATACTTTTTAATGGCTTTAATTTTTGCTTATTTGATTTACTACCTTTAATACTTTTTACAACCCCACCGATACCCTATAACCCAAAACAAAAATTTTAGTTGAGACATGACAAACATCAACTTGTCTTTACAGAAACAGAAATGGACAGAAGAATATTGAGGTGATTCACAGTAAATAATTGTCTTAATTAGTGACCATGATAATTCATCACTGACAATATTTGTAGTGTTCTTGTATCTTTCATAAATTCATCTTTTAACTTATTTTTAACAGTTTATTCACCAGAAGAAACCCAGAGGTCAATAAGTCAGGTTATCAGAGCACATCGATAAGGCAAAGAAGTATGTGCTGATGAAGATGTCATTTCATGTTAAGTTTATCCTGGAGTGTACATAAGGTATAGTATGTTTTTTGCAAACCACCAATAACCCGAGAGCGGGATTCGCAACGCTACCATCACTATCACGTCCCGTGTGTCGGGTTTCACCCTGGTTGCGTTGACAGCTGTTAATCGCTGTCGTTTGTCACTCTCCATGTGTTTAATTTGCTGATGGTGCAATGAATTCCAGGATACCATCAGCCACGTAGGATGCTCAAATGCAGCCGAAGTTTTTGGGGTTTTGTCGGCTGCATTTGTAAACGCTGACGGATTGTGACAGCCTACGTCACGGGGTAGTGACGTAAGCGGCCGACAAATGTGGCAACTCATGAACTGAGATAAAGCTAAAGCACCTGGCCAGGGGTGGACAGGAAGAGAGGCGTTTCAAACAGCTTTTCTGTAGTTGACATTTATGTCATGTCAGCATTTTAAACTGAGAGGTTGTCYCATATAAATTATAGCACAGGAAGTCCTTAGTACAGTATAAATTATTTAATTCATTTTAACAGACTGACCTCAAAGTTGGAAATACTGCTGCACACACCTGCTGTCAATCAGACAGCAAGAGCCGCCCTGCTCTGATTAGGTAAAATGTTCACAGTGGTTCTCTTTAATGGTTGAAAGAACCACCAGTAACCGTGTTTCCATCAAGGCCTTTTGATGCGCATTTAGAAGTGTCGCATTAAAAATGCGAAAAAACGTCGGATGGAAAAAGCAAAATTCAAAAAAAAAAAATCCTCAATTTGCTAAAAAGTTTTTACGCTCGCTTGAGGTGGTTTTTGGGTTTTTCGAAAAACACTTAATGTGCAAAAGGAGAGATGGAAACACTTTTGCCGAATAAGTTGTGACGTAGCAAACATTTACCTCACGCAGCTGATCAGCTGTTCCCCGGTACCGGTACCAGTTTCGGGTCGGCTACAGCCGCGACTGGCAGCATAACCCTCCTCGTCTTCTCAGTAATCCCGTAACGTGAAGAAAATTGCATTTCATTCTCTACATCTCCAGACAGCAGTAACATCGCTAAAACTACTTGATAACAGAATAATTACAACTTTCCTGATAGTAGCAATGCGTTCCTGATAACTTCTCTCCATTATCCTGAGATGTGTGGACCCTGTGAGTTTAGCGACGGTTACTTCCTGTTTGCTATACACATGCGTATGACGTAATTGATTCGCTTCAAGCCAGTTGATGGAAACTCCATCTGATTCGCATTTCTTAATTTTTTCCTTTTTGCGAAATTATTAAAATTTGCTCAAAATTCGAATTAAAATTGGATGTAATTGGATGGAAACACGGTTAGTTTAAAGCTAATATCATCATTAGTTCAACGGCTTTAAGAAAAGCTCCAACAAACTGTTGTTCCCCCGTATGTCAGGATGCAGCCTCTGAATTTGGACACAGCCTTCGTCTCTCAGCTGGTCTGGAAACACCCTGGAGACCTTCCAGAAGAGCTGGAAGAGCTGGCTGGGGAAAGAGAGCTGCTGCCTCCAAGTCCAGAGTTTAAAACAAGCAGGGGGATGGGGTGGAATGTTATTAAAGTTTTAACCATGCAAAGGTTGGCAGTTCACATCTATATTTTGTACATTTATGTGAAAGTCTTGCTTTAAATTTTAATTTTACTTTCTGTGTTTGTCTTACAGATCTCTCTTGTAAATGAAACTGACCCATCTCAGTGAAATTATCTGCCCAAATAAAACTAAATCATTAAAAATAACTGAACTAAAATGAAAGTGTTGATTTTAATTAACATGGACAAATATAAATATTTAGATCTGTGGTGTTTAATCCTGGTCCTGGAGAACCACCATTCTGAAGGTTTACTTGTTTCTCAGCTCCAACATCCCTGATCTAAATGAATGTGGGACTAACAAGCTTCTGCAGAACTTCAAGGTCATTTAATCATAGAATCAGGTGTGTTGGAGCAGAGAAAATTAGTCAAACATGCAGGATAGTGGCCCTCAAGAATCAGAACTAGGGGTGTTGAAAAAAATCGATACTAAAAAGGATCGAGATTCATAGTTATGGTGATTCTGAATCGATTCTAAACTTACACAAATCAATTTTAAAATGTGTTTAAAGGTTGTCAAATCTGAAAGGTAATGTAATCTGTACTGTAGATTACGTTACCCTTGCGGCCACCATAGAAGGCGGCGTCTCTACTAGCGGYGCTAAGCTAGTTAGCCAGCTCCCTTGCTTAATGGAGTCTGTTAGCATGGAGCAGGAGGAGAGCTTGATTCAACCCGCTCCGTCATCGCTAAAAGCCAGTGTTTGGACACACTCTGGTTTCTACAAWGCCCCGGGGAAAAAAGAGCTCGACATGAGCACAATTATCTGCAGGCAGTGCAAAATGAAACTGAAATACTTTGGAAACACGACAAATGCCCGTGCGCACTTGGCGCGACATCACCCCGAGATAAAAGACGTCCAAAAGCAGCAGACCAACGTACTCTGGAGCAATACAACAAACTTCCAGCTAATTCTCTAAGATCTGTGAAGATTTCCCACTCCATCGCCTGCTATATCTAGGCCTGTCGCGATAGTCAATAAATCAATTAATCGCACGATAACTTTTTTTG